AAAAAAAAAAAAAAAATAGAAGAAGAAATGATACCTTTTCCCCCACCATCCCCTTGTCAACCTCCTGGTCCCAGGTGTTCTGAAAGGAATGGATTGTTTTAAAGCATCTCAGTCAGTGCTGTCTCCCCTCCACCCACTACATAGCCCTGGAGGATTCCACCCTGTTGTTAGGAGTCAAAATTCCTGTAATTTTCCACTGCTTCCAGTCCAGGGTTCTCAAATATGGACTAGATCTTGGAATAGTAAACCTCAAGCACCCTTTGGTCCTATGAGGGAACCATCTCGATGGATTTCAGTGTCTAAGGGCTTTGTCTCTGTGGCCAGAAAGATTTGGCTTCAAATCCTTGCTCTGCCATTTCCTGGCAGGAAGTTTGTTACAAAAATCTGAGTCTCAGTTTCTTCTTTAGAATGGGGTCATAACAGTACCTACCTCAGAGTTACTGTAAAGATCAAATGAGATAATCCACATAAAGTATGGTGGTTGGCATGTAGTAAGTAATCCACTTGGTATGGTGTTTGGCATGTAGTAAGTAATCCACTTGGTATGGTGGTTGGCATGTAGTAAGTAATCCACTTGGTATGGTGTTTGGCATGTAGTAAGTAATACAAGTGGAAGAGTAATGTAGATAAGCAGATTGAAGAATCAGTATGATAAGTATGAAGCGGGAGCGAGTGTAAGGTACTAGGACAACACAGGAGAGATACTTAACTCAGTCTAGGGGTGCATAAAGATGTCCTAAAGTAGGTGATGTTTAAGCAAAAAAAAAAAAAAACGAATCGGTAGGAGTTAGCAGGGTAAAGAAAGAAGTGGTATTCCAGAAGTGGTATTCCAGTAGACCAGGAAGCAAGTAGGATAGCTAAGTATTTTGTAGGAGCTTTAAGGTCAGTCTGGTTGTGATCTTCCTAGGGAAAAGGGGATAAGAAATGAGACCAGGAAGCTAAGCAAAAAAGTTAAGGGCCACGTCCCAAAGGACCTTGTATACCTTTCTGGGGAGTTGACTTATCCTAAGAGTAGCAAGGCAACCAGTAAAGAGTTTTATCCCATTTGTGCTTTGGAGCGACTACATGGGCATGGATTGCGGCAGGGAGACCGTTTCAAAGCTATTGAAGTAATCTAGGTTAAAGACAACATGGTAAAGGTGGATTTGAGAAGCATTTGGGAGATAGAAAACTTGGTACCCAATTGAGGTGACAGGGGGAGGAAAGAGGAGGTTCCCAGGAGGGCACTAAGGCTTTAGGTTGGTGACTGGGGTGGAAGCGGGGTTCCATTCATTGACATGGGAACACAGAGGGAAGAATAACTT